AAATACACAATTTACAAGCATAGATAAAATAAACAGTAGTATTCAGGTACAGAAATTTAATAATTAAGTGTAAAATAACACTGCATTGTGTTCACTGTATGAATTAAATTTAGATTAATCTTTGTTATAGCCGTCTTGTTAACATTAGTGTCATATTCAGCAGCACATATTTATAGGCTGCTGTCCCTTTAAATCCGACTGCACGGATTCGGTATAATGATACACATCCGATTTCTTTCTCAGCTGTTTACATTCATTTAAAACATAACCGACAGCGTTTACGAGAATGATCGTCGAGATGGGTGCTATTACTATATATATACTACATAACTCTGTGTGTATGTGTCTGTTCAAACATAAGGAGGAGATGTGAAAGACGAATCAACTCGGTCTGAAATGCGTCTCTCTGTGTGTGTGTGTGTGTGCGTGTGCGGCAGAACTGAAGAGACGCTGCGCGAGATGCGGCTTGTGCGCGCGCTTCAGGTGTGAGTCAGACAGACAGCAAGACGAGACAGCAAAGAGTTGTTTTCTGCAACTTATTGCACTTAATAACTCTTTTTAACGTCAAGCAATTCTCTGCTATATGCGTCAAACTAAAACTTTGACCTTTTGCAACGTTTTGATTTAAGTAGCCTATTATTAAAATGATAATGATATCGCACGCCGTTGCGATATGCATATTGCGATATTTACATTTGCGATATTTCGATATATCGTGCAGCCCTATCCAGGACTCAGCTGAAACATCACTGAGAACTCCATTATGTTTCTTCAGTTCTATAACATAGCAACCTCTTAATAAATTAATCAGTAAACCACAAAATTATCCTCTGGATGGGCAGCAAATCAATCATCTTGACATCAGTTATTGACAATCTATTTAGATCATCCACTAGTGTACATTAGTTGTCTAACCCGTAAAATTAAGTAAATATTACTACTTTATTTGCATTAAATCTGAGATTGAAGACAGTGTGTCCTTCAGCACTTCTACCTTTCTCTCCCTCTTGGTGACCCCATCATTGTCTTGTGATTTATAAGGGCTTGCATATTTCTGATGCTGACTCTAATGTGTAATTGATTGGGGTCATTTGGAAGTGTTCATAGACGCTCTTGCAGTACCGGTAATAAGCTCACTTTACCACTTTACACTTTTCCTGCTCAGACCTGATGTGATTCTTAAAACAGATTACATCAGAAACATGCCGTTGCCTTGTTAAACTGGCATAGGAGAAAGTATTTTAAACATTAAAAAAAAATCAGCTTTAATTTAAGCAGTAATATTCAGACAGACCATTCTGAAAAATGAAAGTGAGTGTGTGTCTTCAGACAGTTTTTGCTGTTTTGTATCTGTCTGTGTCCAGGCTGACATTTATATGATCTCACTGACTGACTTTTACTCAGGCTGCAGGTGTGTAAGGTTACATCTCTGGGGAAACAGAAGACAGAAGCCATTTGAGACTGTATCTCTGCTCTGTTACATCATGTGAGTCAGACAGCAAGACGAGACGGCAAAGAGTTGTTTTCTGCAACTTATTGCACTTAACTCTTTTTAACATCAAGCAATTCTCTGCTATATGTGTAGAACTAAAACTTTGACCTTTTGCAACGTTTTGATTTAAGTAGCCTATTATTAAAATGATAATGATATCGCACGCCGTTGCTATATGCATATTGTGATATTTACATTTGCGATATTTCGATAATTTCGATATATCGTGCAGCCCTAGTTCATACTGTATAAATGACTATCATAACACGTTATAACTTGTTGGAATACCATTATGTCTTTGATGTTGTGAAAATCCCACACTGGGATTATAACTTCCAGTTTTGTGAATTGCTGGTTAATTTGGTTTGACCTGAACAGTGAAATATCCTTTATGACGTAATGTTGTGTGCGATTATCGCAATGCACGTGTTATGATATATTCCCAATTCCCATCATAGCTGTGTTAAACGTGAACATATTTTTTCGCAACATGTTGTAAAATTCTAATGTGAATGGAACTTCTAGTTTTACTTGTCATTTTCCTCATCTGTGAAGGGTAAATTCTTTACAAGTTGATATTCTGTGTGATGGTCCAGACAAGTGTTGCAATGCTGTGAATTCTTGTGTTTACAGGAAAGTTCATCTGAGTTTGAGGTGGTGAATATGGAAGAGAAGACTGTCTCAGAAACCCAGACGGTGAGTTTTAGGGATGTTAGGAAATCCTGGGCAGCTGCAGTCACTCAACTGCACGTGTGTGAACTTGGTGTGTATTTTGCTGGATTGTTGCTCCGTTTAGAATATTCCGTGTTCTGTCATTTTGTGCTACGCATGTAAGTCATGTGTGACACAGTTACTGTAGTTGCTCAGCTGTTTTCTGCTGCCCTTCCTTATCAAGGATTTGTTCATCATAATGAATCAACATATCTCTATGAGGCTGTTCCTTGGATGACGCAGTGGGAAACTCCAGGATTTAGTTAGTATGCAGATAGACTGAAAAACTCATGCATGTGTATCAGTTTATGGAATACCTCTTTGGTTAGGTTTACAAAAACTTCTGTTCACAAATTTGCAAAACTGGAAATGCTTATATAGAGGTATTTTAGTTTTTTTTCACTTTCAGTTTATGGTTTCGCAGTGCTTTTCTTGTGTATCGGGGAAGATGAAGTCTAGATATTGACAGTAAAGGTGCCACTTGATCCCTAGTGATTGGTATTATATGTTAGGGTGTTTTTGGGAAGAATATTTGGGTAAATTCTGCTTTATAATGCAGGCTGGAGTGATGCACCTGCCACAGGAGAACATGGAGCTGGCGAGTCAACTCCGGCGTCTGGAGAGTTCTTTTAGTGTATTTGCTGAAGAGTCAAATCCCAACCAGCTGCTGGCTCACCTGGGCCGCATGGCTGTGGAATTCCACCACTTATCATCCAAGGTCCAGAAGAACGAACAGAGAACATCTCTCCTACAGGTGAGACGGCTGAGCTTGTGACACCTTTTAGGCCTCTGTATTGGCTGTGAGTGAATTAATCGAGGTTTGATTTGCTGAGAATTTAATTCGCTCTTATCTCTAGACACTCTGTGAACAGCTAAGACAGGAAAACAACGAGCTTAGGAAAAAAATGGAGGAGGACCTCCAGTACCGTAACCGTGATCTGGAACAGCTGAGGTAATTTAATTCACATTTATATTCATTATAATAAACTCATCCTTTCATTTACTCATGGAACAACTAAAAGCAAAAAAGCCCGCTGTGAATCTGTGAGAGGAATCAGTGTGAGTAAACTGTGTGCTGGAACTGCTGTGCTGGAACTGAGGGGTCTTTCCATCCGAGGCTTGTTCTCTGACTGTTTCAAATAGAAAATCCTTCAGTTTTTTCTTCATTTTCCAGTTTTGATTTTGGTTCTGTGTGCTCTGGACAGGCAGGAGAATTTGAAACTGAAGGAGCAAGTCAGCGGAGGAGCCCAGGCAGCACCTATTGAGCAACCAAGCCCAAAGGAGGAGCCAGTGAAAGAAGAGACAACCAAAACTAAGGTGGAAATGACCATGACTCAGCAGGTGTGCACTTTTTTCCATGAACCTCTTTATCTCAGGTGACATCACCATAGAATTCCTGGTGCTTTTCTAAATTTGTGTTGGTTTTTTTTTGTCCTTAATTTCCCTTTCAGACCAGTGATGTTGCGATCTAGTTGCTTTTTTGTTTTGTTAGCTCTTTCAGTGGGATTTCTTAGAAAAAAAAGAACCAATGTGCAAATAGCTCCCCGGTTTCTAAATTGAGAGGCTTCTTATTGAGTCACTTTTGCCACTTAGATTAGTTTTGGGAATACCACCTTGGCTCTGAATACTGCTCTTCCTCAATGGTCTTTCTGTTTAAGTTCCTCATTCGTGGGCTTTTTTTTCACGGTATGACTAAATATTGAAGAACAATAAATATGGTCATTGTGTTACGTTCTGACTCAACCTAAAGACTGCTGTACTGTAGTATGATGGGAAAATTCTGGTTTTCTTTGATCAGTCATGAACTAATGCTTTGATTACGTTTTCAGTTTAAAGTCTAGCAGGGATATTTTATGGCATTTAAATGGGAAGACCGTTCATACTGAGTTTCAGTTCTGCTGAAAAGATATAGGATGGATGCAGATTTGGTAATTATTTATTGGTCACTTTTTTTATTTGACAGAGCAAAGGATTATATTATAGTGTCTCTTGGTTTAATGTTTTTTTTAGTTTTACAAACAAATTCCACTTCATTAAATATATAAAGAAAATAACACATTAATTTAGAAGAATATTTAATCTTCCAGTAAGTAATATTTCTGATTTTCTCTTGTCGTCATTTTTGTCATTGTCATTTATTTATCAGAGTTTTTTGTAAGCCTAAATCTTTGTTTTATTATTGTTTAAAAATGTTAACATTTCAGTGATGACTTGGTATTGAAGTACTGTTAAATTATGCAGATGCATAATTTAAATAGTTTTTAAAATGATTCTTATTCATTTTTTTATTTACAGTCTGGTAAAACTGTGGAAAAAACACCATCTAAGACTTGTGATCCGGAGGTGTATGAGAAAAAGATCAAGCTTCTGGAGAAACAGAGGAAAGATGTAAGAACTTTTTGGAGGTCCCCTGCTTTCTTTATGCTTGCTATACTGCTGACATAGTTTCCCGTTTGACTCTGATGTGTCAACTCTTGCCTTTGACCTTTCTCAGGTACTGGAGGTGAACAAACAGTGGGACATTCAGTGGAATTCAATGAAGACACAGTTTGAGCAGAAGGTACATGACAACATATACACTAGAAGTGCTTTATAAATATGTTCCAGTTGGCCTTGTAACTAACCTTTGTGGCTCACCTTATTGATAGTAAAAAAAAAGAAACACATTAAGAAACATTAATCACTTTACTAAGAAACAACAATTGCTTAATGAGTCTGACCAGTGTGAATGGTGGGAGATCGAAGCATATGAATCATCACATGAAATTCCTGTGTAACGTGAAGGCTGCTGACAGACCCTGTTACTGCATTTGGGTGGCGGTGGAAACGCTGTTGGGGCAAAGGAATGGAAAGCAATTCTGTGTGTGTGTCACAGTGTTGCACACCAGACCACAGGCCCCTCCTGTCACACCTCTGGCAGAATTTCCCTCACCTCGCCCGTACCCACTGTCTTCCTGTTGTGGCTCGCCGTAGGGGCTGGCCAAGGTTGCAAAGCCACGTGATCTCACGGCCCAGAGATGGTGACGCCTGTTGCATCTCCGCATCTGCTCGGTCTGAGAGGAGAGAGAAAAAAAAAAGAATAAAAAAATGCATACCGGGGCTGTTTCTCTACACGCATCCTCTGTCGTCATGGGGGGTTCGTGTTAAACTCAGAGCAGTGGAACAAAAACAACTCCATTTTGTTATTCTTATTGCTTTGTTTTCATTTTTTGTGGTTTATTATTTTTATCATTCTTTTTTTCCACCATAAAATGCATCACACGACTATAAAACAGATTACAGCCCCTTATCAAACTTCTGATAAAGGTACACTCTGGCATGCAGATTAAAGCAAACTGCAATATACAACATTTTTGCCCATTCAGGGCAGCTCGGTAACTGATGGTCCTTGATTTTGTGTTAGTATGGCCTGTTAACAGATGTATCTGAGACCAATTTACAAAAACACACTATCAGATGAGCCTTCATCAATTTGACTTTTTCCTCCTTTATAGATCACAGACCTAAGGCAGCGGCTCGCTGACTCCCAAAAGGCTGTGCTTGAGCTCGAAGCAGAACGTGAACAGAGACAAAGAGATTATGACAAAAAACTCCTCCTCGCCAAGTCTAAGATCGACAATGTGCAGGTACACCCTGGTCTCAGCCGCAGACAGCACACCCACAGTCAATCTTTATTACTTTTAGGTGGAGAGAAATTCTGATTTTAAAAAGTTCACTCATTTTTCTCTATTCATTACATACATGCATACACACACACACACATATGTATATATAGTCTGTTATTGTGGTTTAAACCAGATAAACTTACCCCTAAATGGAACAAAAAAGCTTTACATTTTTGTCAGACAGTCTCTTCCTGTGTAAGTTTTTATTTCTTTATGCTGTAATTAAAAAAAGAGCATTAATAAGTCTTTCTTTATTTGATTTTTGTTTAATCATTTACATTTTCTTACTCTTTATGGAACATTTTACTGGTATAAGCACCCCTGTGGAGCTCGATGAAGGCTTCAAGTAGTCATTCAGTGCTTTCAGTTTTCTCTTGGGAAGCACCAGTCATTCCCTCTAGCTGACCATGTGACATTCTTAGAATACAGCAATAGTTTCCCTTCAGTCCCGGAGGGGACATTCAAGCATGCCAGGGATAAACTGCCTTATAAATTTATTGAGTGTCAGATATTGTAATTATAATGCTGTTGATTTTGCCACGAACATAGCCATTGCTGCTTATATGGCATTAAATCGTAAAGAAATTTATGAAGTGTCATAGACTGTGTCATGTGACGACTGGTTTCATTTTCACATCCACGGCCTACATATCTTTACATCTCAATGCTCTCATGGTTTTTAGTTTATTTATGAGTTATGGACAGCATTACTAAGGTTTTGTCAGCATTACTCGCCCCCACAGCAGACCACAGATGTTCCATAGGAGAGGCCTTGAGGCAGTACCGCACATCAAAATGTTGTCTGATGCTAGTATGTTGTACTTGTAATCATTAAAAATGCATTTGTATGATATCGAAATTGAAAAAATGTTGACCACAGGTTTTTATATTACATGCTTTAAAGGTCACAAGAGTTTCATGTGGGCAGACTGGCATGTGTCAGGTGCTTTGACAGGTGCTTGCTTGTGATTATGAGTTGTTTTTCCCCAGCACATACCATGCATATTCTTATTTGAAGATGTTGTGTATTCAAAGTCATGTGATAATTTCCATTTTGTAAAACGTCCTTACAGAAAGCAAGTTGCAGGTGAACCTCAAAGACATCCCTGAGCACCCAGCAGTTTTGACTATAGTGTGTGTTGATAGACTTTTTCGTAATTACAATACAGGAAATGAACTTGCACTTTTTTACCTGATTAATCAAAGACAGATTGATTTAGGTATTTAATTAATTGCTGGTTGCAGCCCTACTGGAAAAGTGACATTTATAGTAATATGTTTTAAAATACAGTGTCAGACAATAAATGTCCCTAACACTAACTGTATAAAGTCTAGATGCATGATCAAGTGACTGTGTTTTGCTCCAGTGGTTAACCAGTGTATTTCTTATGTCATAGGGTGAGAAGGAGTGCCTCACCTCAGAAACATGCGAGTTGAAACAAAAGGTGCGTTACCTGCAGGACCAGATGCTGCCACTTACTAAACAAAGAGAATACCAGGAGAAAGAGATCCAAAGGCTTAATAGGGTCAGTGAAGCACACAAACTTACTAATGCACATACACTTCCTAGCTATCTCAATGAAAACTTTCATTGTCCATTGTCCTTTAGTTAGATAGGCACTAATCTAAAGCCTTATGGCATTTGTAAAAGAAATGCATTTTGTTATTTATTAAGTGCATTACTGTTCAAATCATTGGGGTCAATAAGATTAATGATTTTTTTAATAGTCTCTTATGCTCACCAAGGCTGTATTTGTTTTGTTCAAACATAGAAGAAAAACATGAATATTGTGAAATAATATTTCAAATTAAAATAACTGTTTTCTATTTATATATGTATGTATATATGTTGGCAAAGCTGAATTCTCAACAGTCATAACTCCAGTCTTTAATGTCACATGATCCTTCAGAAATCACTCTGATGTTCAGATTTGGTGCTTTAGAAACATTTCTTATTAATGTTGTGCTGCTTAATGTTTTTGCTAAATATTGTTTTAAAAGCAAAAATCAGTTCTGATTGTATTGTCTCTTTTACAGGCATTAGAGGAAGCTTTGAACCTCCACTCTCCCTCTTCCACCCAGCCAGGCATGAACCTGGGAGAAGGTGTGGCCAACCTGAGACAGCAGGAGCTGCACACACAGATAGCTGTATTGAAGGAGCAGGTACAAACACTTGAAGACTCTGATGCATCTTGTTGACAAATGTTAAAAGCAGCATTCTTCTTGTCAAATGTCATTGGAACTAGTGGGGACCAGATCACTTTGGTACCAGTCGAAATGTTATACTTTATCATTGAATGCAGTAACATTCATACATTTGTGTGTCTCAACTCGAGTGTCCAATTTCTGTAGGGTCACAGTATACTCTGACATGGCACAATGCCCTGCTGTGGTCAGATGAGCTAAAATAGTAAAAGAGCTCCTCGGAATGCTTGAGTTTTCTCATTGCGTCAGATTTTGTCAGAGGTTCTCTAGGAGTTGAGGTTTCACTCATTGAAACTACATGAATTGATTCTGCAGACATTTTACCTCATTTATCAAACATGCTTTGTAAGAAATGAATGTGTTAAGGTTCCATGAGTCATACAGTTTGTTTGAGGTTTGATAGCTTCCTTCAGCCTTACAGCCTGCTGAAATGCACCGATGGCTGCAGAGATCTTGTAGATTTGCATCCTCATCACATGCAATGTTTTCAGGTGAAAATCTTTGAAGAGGATTTCCGGAAGGAGAGGAGTGACAGAGAGAGGATGAACGAAGAGAAAGAAGACTTGAGGCGGCAGGTGGAAAGGCTGCAGGGTCAATTGACCAATCTGATGAATCAGGTCAGTAGTTACACGGACCCTTAGACTGTCAGCTCGAACCAATGAAATGACTCCAGAGAAATGCCCAGTTGGTTAATAAGGAGACATGAAAGAATCTTATGCTAGTCCTGAAATCAGTATCTCTGTTTCACAGCTTCATCAAGCACAGAATGAGTGTCAGAGAGAGCGTGCAGAGAGGTGTAAACTAGAGAGACTGCAGATGCAACATAAGCAGGTAAATGTGCTACATTGGCACCACCTTGTGGTAGAAGCTCTAATCACAGTCAACAAATGTGGTAGAATCCCTAAATGGAAAGACAACTGGATCTTATTTAGATTTTGTTTTTCAATGTTTTGGAGGGGCAACAGGAAAGGAGGACGTCTGATCCCACTTCTGGCTCGGCCAATGGCCCGATGAGCCCTCCATACTGTGGCCCGTTTGTACAGGTGGGCCATCAAGGTCTAGAGGGGTGGCCCATACACTTCCCGCCCAGGATGCCTAACATCAGTACAGCACCCGGCAGGGATTTCCAGCCTGTCAACCCCGTAAGTATGCGATAGCAACAGCAGTAAAATTTCAGGGTTCTTGACAACGCCACAAAACCACCCTCATTTTAATATTAATGTAAAATATTAACAAATTAAATTAAAACAGCCGTGAATTATTTCTCAAATAAAAATTGCTTTAAGTTTTTCAATTATTCAAGTAAACACTTAGTACTAAAGAATAAATAAATTGAGCTTTTTACTTGTTAATAACTTAACCCTTGTGCGTCAATTAAAGGGGTCCTATTATGCTTTTTCACTTTTTCAACTTTAGTTAGTCTGTAATGTTGCTGTTTGAGCATAAAAAAGATCTGCAAAGTTACAAAGTTCAAAGTCCACTTCAAAAGGAGATATTTTATTTAACAGAAATCACTTTTCAAAAACTACAGCGAACGACTCGTTTGGACTACAATGCATATTTTCCGGGATTTGTGATATCACAAATATCTACGAATGGGACGAGACCTGGTTGAGCTGCACTAGAGAAGGCAACGAGTGTTATCACTATGTCGGAGACACGCTAGCTTTCCCAAGGCAGACAAACTTAGAGTGGTTACAATCATCCGGGTTTAAATCACGCTCAAATTGATTTGATTTTGACACAATATTTACACTGATGCTCGCAGGAGAAGGTGTTGTAATAATGTAAAATATGTGAAAAATAATGTGTTTTTCGAACAACCTAGTATGAGAGCCTGTTCTAGCACACCTCCAAAACAAAATCAAGACTTTGTAAAAGAGCATAATAGGACCTCTTTAAAAAAAAAGTTACGCATAGGTTCATAGAGGACAAAAATGTCCATGTCCAAAAACTGTCATAAAAATGAACATGAAATTGAAGCTTGGGAGTACCTACTTAAGTTTGGTCTCATTTTAAAGGAGACCCTTGACAGATTATTGTTGAAGTTAAAAAAAGTTCTAAAAAATGTAAACCAAAAAAGTTATAGAGGTTTAAGTTTATGAAAATGATTTATGAGCAATTTTTTTGTATAAAATATATATTGCATAAAACACGCTGAACACAAAAATTGCTAGAAAATCAAAGCCATAAATCTAAACAAGTTGTGTTCCAAATTTGAGGTTGATATCTCAGAAAATGAGCTTTTAGTAATATTTTGTTTGGGTGCTGTACCAAACTTTTCCCATTAGATTCCAGCAAAGCTCCTCTGGCATACACAGTGGTGGGATTTGTGATTTGCAGTACAGTATAATTTCTCTCTCTCTCAAACATTACAGGTGCACACACACAAACACACACGGTTGTTTTTTTATTTTTTTTTAGGACACGCATACAAACCACACTCTGACATCCATACCAACACACCCACATAATTATAGCTGCATAATTTATCCAACTGGCTCTATGATACAGCAAAAGCAGAAAACAGGACAAATGTGAGTATTTGCTTTAAAGGCCAAACCTGAGAAAATGGCACCATCTGGTAATTTTTTTTTACAAATTTTAATTTTGAAGCCTTGCCAACAGAATGAAAGCCTATTAATAAAGACTGCATCATTTTATAGTTAAATGGCCCTGGGATTAAAAATTGCAGTTTTACTGGGTTTCAATGAGGACATTTTTGTCCTTAAGGTCCTGAGAGGAACTATTTTTTGTACCTAGTGTAAAATAGATTTATTAAAGGAAATGAGGGTGAAATATTAAAATTCCAATAAAAATACACACCTGTGCCATAATGTATGCAGTTGGCATTAGCACAGGCAAAATGATCAAAAAACAAAACAAAAAAGGACAAAAATGTTCATAAGGTCGCACAAGGGTTAACAGAAACCAGGCTGTACACTGCACAATTAATACATTTATTTTTAATTTAATTTTATTATTATTTTGAAGTATTTTAAGTGCAATGTTAAGAAGTGCATTTTGGTATTTGTTTAAATCAACTTACTGATACTGAAGTACTAGGTTAACCTCTAGTTAAGGTTCAGGTTCTAGTTATACACTTACTGTAACACAGTTGTTGTTTTTTGGTTTTATTTCAGAGGAGGTTAGTTTGATAGTGAGAGAAATTCCTGTTTTTTTTTTTTTGCTTCCTTTACATCCTGGAACAGACACGAGAGTCATTCCAGCACTTTCAAGTGGTTAACCACATGTGGTGTGAAAAAGACATTTGTGGCTATTATGATTTGTACAAACAGGGTTTTACAAGAGGTACAGTGTGCAGAAGTGGACAGAGATTGAAACTATTGTTCTCTTCGTATAATGATTTCTTCTTTCGTGTGTGTTTGTTCAGGGTTTTCCCTGGCAGTCATCCTTCCCACAACCACGTGGTTCCAGAGGACAAGCAGACACAGCGAGACCCCCTCCAGAAACTGCAGGTATTTATTAGATTCAACCTGCGTGTCCTTTCTGGTCTCCTGCATCCTTCCTGCGTCACCAGGATTCATTTTGTTTTGCCACGCAATGTCAGTCTGACCCAGTGATATTTCAAGCATTCTGTCTGAATCAGTCAGCTTCCACTGGAGGCAGTTCAAATGATGACGACAATGAGAACCATGACAGACGAAACATGAAATGGCAGTAGTTTTAAATTTCACAATGATTGTACAAGGCCTATGAAGTTTAGTTTCCTTTTGGGTCTGTCCGGTTATCTGTATCATCTACACTACAGACATAAAAATTGACGCAATTTGCTTTCCATTGTGCATAATTATCAATGTAAATTATTCTAAAGATGAAAATGTTTTTTCATCAAAGCATATAGTCATTTTCCACCTCTGAAACATCATCTCTGCTAAAGTGAGAAGGCTGCTTTCCATAGTGTTTTATAAACACACTACCACTATTTTGTTAGTGGTATTATAACTCAACTTTTACACTTTTGTCAAATCCAGATGCATAAACTCAAATCATGTCCTTCATTATTTCCTGCTGAATATTCTTTGTTTGCTCAGCAATATGATGAATAGCAATATCATGACCTGGGTCAAAAATGAGTTTGGTGTTGTTTTGGTATCAGACATAATAGTTCAATAATAGTAAATGTTAATTTATTTCACTTAAATATTTACATTTCTGTACACTATACATTTTAAAATGTAATTTATTCCTGTGATGGCAAAGATTAATTTTCTGCATCCATTACTCCAGGCTTCAGTGTCATGTGATCCTTCAGAAATCATTGTAATGTGATGTTTTGGTGCTCTTTTGAAAGATGAAAAGAACAGCATTAATGTGAAATAAAAATTGCTTGTGACAATGTAAAAAGTCTTCAATCTCACTTTTGATCAATTTAATGCAACCTTGTTGAAGAAAAGTGTTACATTCTTAAAAATCCACTCTTCTCTCTGCTATGCTATAAAGGCTAAAAAACGGAAGACATAAATCTAAAAAATGGCAATATTGTTTTACATTTATGTTCAAAACACACCTCAATATTTTATCTGAAAAATGTTCAATTTCTTTGTTGTTGGCAGAAATGGGAGCAACTGGATTTGGGAAAAGGGAGCGTCAGAACATAGACCCCGGAAAGCACTAACCACATATTCTCTCTCCTGGAATGGCTCCCGGCTAGTAGCATGATGCAGTTTATTTTCAGTTGGCATGGTGTGAACTATTGTTTTTTGTTTTGTTTGTTTTTTGTACATGTATATATATATATATATCTACCACTGATGAAAATGTTGTTTATATACTTACGTTTTATAATCCTGTTTGTGAAACACTGTTCTTGCAAATTAAGAATATATACATTCATTATTTTACCTTTTTATGATTGTTAAAGTTTAAATTATCTGCTTTATATAATTCTATGCAGGAATTGAAGTCAGTTATTTAATGGATATTATGATTGAACGTTATTTTTATAACAATCTACCTATAGAGTTAAATCTCCACCACTTAATTAAATGATAGCTGCCTGAAAACATGACATTTAGTGTTTTGGTACTGATCGAGACTGACAAAGACATTTGTATGTGCAATTAGAGAAAATGTGTATTTAAAAATTGTAACTCTATAGGTGAATTGTCTTGAAAATGGCTAACAGTAGAATGTGACTGAACTGATTGATGATTCCTTCACTGGCAATGGTTGAGATGATGGGAGAGGTCACATACTGTTGAACGTCTGCGTGTGTCATTACTCTCTGACTGCTCATCTGCCCCACTGTTTATTGAAGCCATATATGACACCTGTTAACCTTTCCATCTATTAGATTACGTTCTGGGATTACTTTAGTAAGCGCTTCAATAGCTTGTTGATCCTTCAGATACTTATGAGTGTAATTGAAATGATAATCTATCGAGGAGGGCTTTCATCTGGGCGACAGAAGTATCACAGTAGTTTTGCTTAATATTTTTCAAGATTCAGTGTTCAAAAACATTATTCCCTATGTGCATATGGAAGTGATAAGTTATTTATATCTATTGTTTTGACAGCTGAGTGTGGTTTATTGTCTTAAGTGATGTTGTCTTTTGTGTATTGTTTTGTGTCTCCCTTTACATATTGTAGCTACTGGAAGACTGTAGGATGTGAGTTTGTGTGTTTGTGCATATGCACAGGAAGTGGGCCAGAATAAATAAGTTTATGCATCACATTAGTGCAGCCCACTTTGATTGGTCTCATTTTTGATTTAGGCTGAACATGAGGAGGAAATAACCAAATCACCAAATGGCTGATTACAGTGGGTCCAGTGTTGCACTTAAAAACATTGTAATATGTTTGGAACAGGGTAAGAATCATATCCTTTCTGTTTTTATGGTCATCTGCCATCATGAAGGCTGTTTTTCCACATGTGTGCAGTGTCTCCAACCTTACTGACCAATGCTTTGAACCAAACGCAAAAAGGTTTGTATGCTCACAAAATATTCCCAATGGCGAGCAACTCATTTGCTGTCAAATGGTGTGATATTTGTCATGTAAATGTACAAAATAAAACATAGGCAGGCATTTATTTTATGAGTTGAAATGTCTTTGAGCTGGATTGCACTCTGAGATGTGTGCTTTATTTACTCGTCTCCATCAATTACTGGTTGGCAGTTTTGTGCTTTTTGGAATGACTCTTTTTCTCCAGTGGGTGAAAGCAGACCTCATGTGAAACTTTTGTAATTGATTAGTATAATAAATATATTCTAACTGTCTAAACCTCCAAATGTTATTGTGTGAGAGTTAAAGTACAAGTTGCATCACCATATCACCCTGACACTCAATAACCAGAAGAAAACATTTTGTTTCTTGCATTTTAGTCTTTATTTACTGAACGTCCACAGAGGCGGCAGCAAGTTCAATGGATAGTTTAGGAGATGAGACATGATCGAAAAGCAACAGCAGAGCAGCCTGAATGCACTAAAGAGCTGCCCGCTGGCCCTCGACCTCAGGTCAGGCACCACAGAGTGTCTGTTTTCAAGCCTTCCCGTCATCAACATGCCAGTCTCCAAACCGACCCATTGACAGCCTCTAGAAGGAGCAGTCTGGGAATCCTTTTACTTCAATTTCATACTGTTCAAATTCTTGTAACAACAATTCACAAAGGTTTACATTTTTTAACTTTGCCACATGTAATCTTGCTTTTACGGGGTTTCTGCGGGTCTTAAAAAGTCTTACTTCGCCGTTCCACAAATTAAGGCCTTAAATCAGAGTAGAAAGTCTTAAATTCATTAAATAATGGCATTAAATGTTGCATGCACTTGAGAAAAAAAAAGATCATATTCTTCACTATTTTTGTCTTTTTCCCAATACAAATATCTGAACATCCTTAAATCAAGAAAACATTTTTTGTTGTCTAAAACTTGAATCGTGTTGATTTTTCTGAGCCAATCAATTTATCTTTTTGCTTGTCTATACATCCTGTTTTAAGACTCTTAAGACATCTTTAGACATTTGCACGGGAAAACAAGAAATACCGAGGTTCCCTAGACATTAAGATTTAGAGAACATATTGACGTATTGCTTTTCCTTCAATTTATTCCTTACATTTTCTTTTAACTGTTTTTAAAAGGGTCTTAAATCTCCCTTCATAAAACCTGCAGAAACCCTGTTTTGACTATTTGAACACATTTTATGCTGGAGAGAGAGATGAATGTGCAATTAAATCCACTGTTTTAACGTTAATCAGCCTTTTGAACAAGCTGACGGAAGTATTTCAAGATGTCTGCCTTAACTTCAGATACGTTCACTCTGGGAAACCACCTCATTACAGGTCTGCCGTCTGGACCCACCAGAAACTTCTCAAAGTTCCACTTGATGTCGTTGATTTTGAGAGGTTCCCAAAACAATCTGTTGGTGGGGTTACCGAAGCTGTCTCCCACAGGTGGGCAGGCATTCTGAAAGAGAAAGAGACGCCTTCACTCTTTATTGGCATTGATGATTCCATGAAGAACCTTTAACATGCATGGAACATTTCCATTGCAGTTTACTTGACACAACAGATCTCAGATAGAGAAAAGTAGTCCCCAAAAGTATTTGGAGTGTTATTGCAAAATATTAAAATGTGACCCTGGACCACAAAAGTGTCAATTTTTCAAAATTGAGATTAATACATCATCTGACATCTGAATAAATAAGCTTTCCATTGATGTATGGTTTGTTAGGATTGGACAACATTTGGTCGATATACAACTTTGAAAATCTGGAATCTGAGTTATCCAAATGAAGTCCTTAGCAATGCATATTACTAATCAAAAATTACGTTTTAATATATTGACGGTAGGAAATTTACAAAATATCTTCATGGAACATGATCTTTACTTAATATCCTAATGATTTTTGGCATAAAAGAAAAATCTATAATTTTGACCCATACAATGTATTTTTGGCTATTGCTACAAATATACCCCAGAGACTTAAGATTGGTTTTGTGGTCCAGGGTCACATATAAGAATGGAATTAACATTGAATTGACATTTTAAAGTAGAAAGACTGAAGTATTATTTTCTTGTATAATGTACTTAAATAATCAGTATTTAATTTTTTTTTACTTAAAACTTCAAAAAGTGAACATAAGTGCACTTCTCAAGCTAAGATAAAACAACAGTTATTCTGTTTTTTTGGTTTGATGTAATTTTATATTTTCTATTGTATTAATTGATTTCTATTATTTCAGTTTATTCTAATGGAATGACATGCTTATTGGGGCCTCTATGTAGCTTATTCCAAAATGGGTAAACAGGTTTAAATTTAATTTAAACGGACCTTTTTTTTCTTCGTGAAATAGGCTTTTCTTGCATAAGGTGTTGCAAGCAATTTCAGATTAAAAAAAAAAAGCTTTATTAAGCAATGACCAACCTTTAAAAATGTGAAAAGAGCGTGTTCATTGACTCCATTCACATCCACCTTCTCAAATAACTGGAAATTTGGAACAAATCCATTGCCTGGACGGACATACCTGTGAAGACAAGGAGAAATCTGTTTCATCATGGGCCTGTCTATAAGGAAAACAAATAGAGACTTTAAAGAGCCATGGCCAGAGAAGTGGCTTCAGATATCACTCCAGAAAAGAGCCTTTAGGTTCAAGATATATGATATGTGCAGTAATTTAAAGGGGATGATGGATGAGAAAGACAAACTAATTGCACACTGTCTGATGCTCAGGTAATTTTGGCTCATGAGTGATGGCCAGTAATCTCAAGGTTAAAGAAACCTTCAGTCTTTTTTCCTTAAAGACCGTGTCTTCTGATTAATACTTGTTGAGTCATTTATCTTTTGGATGTCTTGTAGAATAGGTTTTTAAAACGGCATGTTTAATCCACTGTTTTTAGTATTATTCACATACTATATTTCTTAATATTTTAAGCTTTTATTTTTATATTTTCAGTTCTCATTTGAACTAAGTTTTAGTAATTTTGTTATGTGCTTTTGTCTTTTTTATTATTTGTTATATATATTTCTATTGACCTTTTAATTTATTTAAATTTTTTTTTCATTTTTCATTTTAAGTTTATGTATACAAATAATTTTCCATCAATTTTCCAATAACACTGGTTTCACCACCACAATTAAACGTCTCTATTTTCAAAGAGTAACATGAACTCACTTTAATGCAGAAAGAATTTCATTATTTTTTCCAGGCTCTTGCATCCCAAATTGGTTGCATGGAAACCCGAGGATATTGAATCCAACATCTCGGAGCTCCTGTTGCAGTGCATTCAATTCTAAATAGCATATAAAACTCATAGTCAATACAGTTATCATGAACAGGTTTCATATTTGCTCTTCAAGCTTTGTTGTCATGAGGTGTAAAATATATATTTGCACATATAAATTTGCAAACATAAGTAATGTTTGTATATACTAATATTTGTGTTAAGTGAAATAATGTGCACACTTACCCACATACTGGAAGGTGAGTCCTCAGTAGGTGGCCACATTGACAATGAGGACATGCCTTCCAGCATAATGGGAGAATGGCATGAACTGGGTCCCATTTAGGGTTTTCACACCATAGTTGTGTATAGTGTCACTTATAGCTGGGTTGCAGACCTGAGACAGACAAACGTAAAATAACGCTGGCTCTGTACCACAATTACAAAGAGGAGAAACATGAAAAATGAACATGAACATGAAAAAAATACCATTCAAAATGTTTGGGTCAATAAGATATACTTAAAAAAAAAAAAAACAACTTTTTTTTTCAGCAAGGGCGCATAAAGTTGATCAGATGTTTACAATGTTACAAAATACTTTTATTTCAAATAAATTGTTCTTTAGAACTTTCTATTTCTCAAAGGACCCTGAAAAAAATGTATCACGGTTTTCACAAAAATATTAAGCAGCATATTAGAATGTTTTCTGAAGAATCATATGACATTGAAGATTGGAATAATGAATAATAAAATATAAAACATATTAAAACAGAAAACAGTTATTTTAAATTGTAATAATATTTCACAATATTACCATTATTTTTCATCAAATAAGCAGCCCTGGCAAGCATAAGAGACTTTTTTCAAAAAAATTCTCCCAAACTTAAACTTTTGAACGGTATAAACATGAAATAAAATGATTATTTAAACAGTGCAGTGACCTTTGTATTCTCACTCAAAACTGTGAAACCCCAGGCACACTCTTTATCATTGAACCAGCTCATTTTCAAGAAAACTGGATGTGACTAATATGCGAGTAAAAAAATGAACAAAACTGTAATATCATGTCATCTTAATTCTTATTATCATATAACAGTTCTGTTTCTCAGAATAGAAATGTTTTAGGGTTATATCACCTTGAAGCTGTAGTAGTGGAGTTATAATACCCTGACCAGGTAAAGTAAATATTTACCTTTATTTGACTTTTGCTGTTTGGTATTTGAAGCGCTTAAAAACAAAAAACGGTTACAAAACATTCTGTTATTTTACTATATATATAACCCTGGACTTAAGAACTGAACATGATTCTTATATTTTTTCCCTCCATTTATTTCATTATTTTCTGCCTCAGTTACTGTGGCAACCCACTGCACCTGCTACTGCATGGTGAAAACAGTGCGCACGATCAAATCACACTGATTTATGGGCTATAACCTCCACATCCTTACAGCATTGTGTTAAAAACATGCGAGATTATATGAGATCATTTCATACCAATCTGTTCCAGTATTTACTTTTAAGCTTCAATGTAACACACAAATACTTGGATGTTGTTTACTCAGCCTATTGCTTTAATAACAAGCAATGCCTTTACTTTCAATAAATAAAAAATGTGCATTATTATCCTTATTCCTTTGTTCTTTATTCCTGGTTTAAAGTTTTATCCAAATGAGCAATCCAGTATTACCAAAACCAAGACAAAAGCTGTATAATAAGTATATGTCTTAACATCTTACCTGGGTATTGGATAGTCCACTAACTTTATGTAGAAGACCCACCAAGACCAGAGCAGAGATCCAGGGATTCTTCTGGTTCCCCATGAGGGTGACGTGTGGCCCCTGCAGGGTGTCTGTGTGTCGTCTGAATGAAGCGTGGCTGAGCTGGAGACGAAAAACACTGGAGGAGAGTGACGCAGACTAGCCAATAATATCCAGCCTCATCATCCCACATATTGACATATGAATACAGCCATGGCCTGTTTATTACAGCTCTAAGCTAAGAGTTTGTTGCAATCTAGTTCGCAGTGAATGTATTTGTCATTTGATTAAAAGAATTATTGT